AAAAAAAAAAAAAAAAAAAAAAAAAAAAAAAAAAAAAAAAAAAAAAACCAGTAAAGTTGCCTTAGAAGGAGCAGACAAAAAAAGGGAAAGTCAGGAAAGTAGAAGACTTGAACAACACTATCAACCAACTTAACCTAATTGACATTCACAGAACACTCTATCCAAAAACAGCAGGATAAAACACACTTTTCAAGAACACATGGAAGATTTACCAAAAGATACTATATTCTGGGCCATAAAACAAGTCTCAATAAATTTTAAAGGATTCAAAGAAGAAGTATATTTTGTCACCACAATGGGATTAAATTAGGAAGCAATAACAGAAAGAAATCTGGAAAATCTTGTATTTGGAAATTAATTGGCATGCTTCTAAATAACCCTGGGACAAAGAAGAAATGAAATGAGAAATGAGCAAGTATTGTGATGTAAATGAAAATGAAACATACTATAACAAAACTTGTGAGGTACAGCTAAATCAATATTTATAGGAAAACATAACATTAAATGCTTCTATTATAAAAAAAAAAATGTCTGAAATCAAAATGTGGTCTCCAAAACATCAGCATTAGCATATCATGGGAAGCTGTTAGAAATGTAAATCCTTGGACCCTAACAGAGACCTACTGAATCAGAAGCTCTAAGGGTGGAGCCCAGCAATCTGTGGCCCTCTAGGTGATTCTGATGCACATCCAAGTTTTGAGAACCACTGCATATACTACTGGAGTGTTGTTTTCATTGTGCTAGGGTGTGTTCCCCAGTAAGGAATATACACAGTTTATACTGCTCTGAAGTTCAGATCACTTAAAAACAACAGAGGATTGTTGAAATCTCTGACTAAAACTTATATTTGTTTCTCCTTTTCAGTTCTATCAGTTTTTCTTTATGTGTTTTCAAGCTTTGTTGTTAGGAGCAAAACTTTTAGGACTGTTATGTTCTCTTGATAAGTTGACTCTTTATCATGAAACATTCCATTTTTCCCTGTTATTATTTTGAAGAGTCTGTTTTGAATAGTCTTATTTTGAATAGTATGTTAATCTTGTGTTAAATTTAGAATATTTAGAAAATGCCCAACGCTTGAAGAGTCCTGCAAGTGTTTAACCCTACAAATAATGCCTCATTTGCTATAAAGACCTAAATTTCAAAAGCCACAGGTATAATTTTCTTGAAATCTAAATAGGAATAGAAGAGAAACATCGGGGGGACTATGACTTCATTGCATACTTTCTACTGTTCATTCTAGGCCTTTCATGTGGGAACCAAATGTAGTCAACTAACTCTCTATCAAGGAACAAAGACATGTTAAACCTAAATGACTAGTAATACAAAAATAATTTGCTTAAAATATGGTTTTATATCTACGCTTGAATATAAATTGTCTGACGTCTTCGAAAGTCACCTTAAATGAAATACTGAAGCCCTAACATAAGCACTAATTTAAAAGCACTAACTCCTATAGTGGTAGGCATCATCTTTTCAACTAGCTCGATGCACTAATCTCAAGCGTATCTGTTCTTCATCTAAATTTGCTGGTTCATATCTGTCCTGGGAGGGGGAGTTGGAACTTTTGGCTTTAACGGGCTTTAGTTATAGCTTCTACTAGTCAGGAGTAAACAAAATCCACACTGTATTACGATAATTAACTGACAAGTATAGAAGAGAATTTCAGTAACAACTTGAAAGCAACATTTGCCATGGAAGAACTGTAATATGGGTAATCTACCTATTAATCTCAATTTATTATATGACAGTCTTCAAAAATAAAGGGAAAAATATACTGAAATTCTTCTAGTATTCTAGTCTCCAAAGAAAAAATATAACCCAATCTACACCAGGCTTCCTTCCTCTCCCCTAATCTTTGGTGATTTCATTGGCTTTGGTTTTTTCTAAGACATTTCCTTCTGTGCTTTTGAACAGAGGCCCACAACATGGCCTATAGGGCCATGGGAGCATAATTAATCAAGTACTCAGCTAGCCACCACTATTAAAATGTTTTAATCTCAACGTAAAATGAGATCAGAGTTTTACAAGAGATTTCAGAACACGAACATTGATTTCCAAAATTGTTTCTCTCCCTTTCAGAAGCATAAAGATGAACATACACAAATCTTAGGAGTTTTTATAAAAAGCATGGTATTTTTTCTATTTTAATACATCTACCATTGACAAACATGCAAAATAACTAATTCCAAATCAAAGGTCTCTAGCAGAAACATCCAAATTAAAAATGAAGCATTTAAATTTACTTGATGGCCATGAAATTCAGCAAGAAACCACCCTTTCTCCTACACTTCAGAAAAACCACCAATTCCTTCCTGGAGTATTGATGGCATCAACAGTGCTTGGCTCTCTCTCCCTTGTCAGCATCCAGACATACCTGGTTCAATCTTGTAAATTAATGTTATAGTTCCAGTTACCGAAAATGCCCCACCATCTTCTTCACTGCATTTCAGCTTAGCAAGGCACCTACCGACAATGCACAGCTTGGGAAATGAGCAATGAAGAACATAATGGCCTGAGAGTTACCCATACATCCTAGGTCTGCCAATTGAGTTAGAACATTAATAGGAATGTAAAATTCCAGGAGACATTCATTTATTCTCCTCTCCAAGTTACTAGAATAAACAGTATCAGAAAGAAAACAGTAGAAGAATGTGGCAATAGCCACATATATGAAATCTTACTAGAGCTAAAACCAAACTAAACAAAATGCAAAATACAATGGGACAAAGAACTGGCTCCCATTTGAGTTTTACTTGTGGCTTCAAGCAACCTCCAAACTAAGAGGCTCATAAATTAGGAAATAATTTTAATGCTCTGAGGGCTCAGTAATTTATATTAGGGTATTATTAAAATTTATGTTTTATAAGAATTGCATGTACTTCATTATTGAATTTGGTGCTAACAGTAAAGAAATAACTAAATGAGATATAACCTCCAATATACCCACTTCTAAAACTAAAAAGCATTTTAACACATTTTTTTCTGGCACCCTCAACTGAATCAGTAAAACAAATAGAAAATCAAAACATGATTGTAATATTACACGAGATAATTCATTTTACTTCAATAACTTAGTCTGTTCCAAAGTATTTCTGTCCAAAATGTGTAGGTGCAACAGGATGAACTTCAGTAGTTAAAATTGTGATCTCTGGAAACTCCTGAATGATTGATTTGGCACCTTCAAAAAAAAAAAAGAAAAGTTATTATGGTAGAATGTTTTGGTAATACCATTTGTAATTCAGGAATTTTGAAATTATTGTCACTAGGTCTAAAATTGACAGAAGACAGAGAGCAATGATCTTTGGATACCTAATCAGACTTGGTTAATCTCTTCCTCTTTATAAAGTCTGAAAAGCTTTGACAGTAGTCAGACTATGTCCTCTCCATCTCATTAATAAATTATTAGAATTATTATTTTATGCTCAAACTGAAAAATACAGTTATAGCAACTTTTCCCATGAAGAGTTTTTTTATTTTATTTTAAAGGTGACTGTAATAGAGTGAATATAGTCCTTTTTAAAATGAGGATCACAGGCCAGGCAGAGTGTCTGAAGCCTGTAATCCTAGAACTTTATAAGGCTGAGGCAGGAGGATCACTCAAGGTCAGGAGCTTGAGACCAGCCTGGGCCACAAAGCAACACTCTATCTCTATTAAAAAAAAATAAAGAGGATCACATATAAGATGATGGTTTCCCAACTGAAACTCTATGAAACAAGCGCAATGTTTCAAAGTGTCCTTGTTTTTCACAGAAAAAGCTGGAGTTGTCAGAGCATGCCAGCTTTTTAGAAGTTAGGACTCTAACTTCTGGAGAGGGGAATAGGTAGGGAAAGGAAACAAGGACTAGAATCTTCACTGTAGAGTAATTTGGCCTAAGAAGAAATATGAAAATATGTAAATGACTCACAATAACTGAATGGTTAAATAACATATAGTCAAAGGATATGATGTAACTGTTAAATCATGATTTTGGGAAATATTGAATGGCATCAAAAATACACATGGTAAATGTAAAAAAAGCACTAAAAATAACAGCATTAGAATCATGTAAAATGTTATCAACAAGCTTAGATATAACCGATACAAATGGTGAGTATTTTAATTACCCTGTCAAATTAAAAAGCCAAGCAAAGCTGCCACAGAATAAGATTTTTCAGCTAAAATGTCAAAGAATAGTACACCAGTCTCATGTATACTATTGGAATTTAAAAGAGTGCTTTTCTATTCCCAAAGGCAAAATTTTTTTAAATTATTGGATTCTCTCAATGTTGTCAATGCCACCTGCATTATACATATAAATGATAACTAAGCAAATCACCCTTTGTTACCAGCAACATTTGAATTACAAGTAATATTTGGTTATGAAACAGCAAAGTAGTCAAACAGGCCATAATTCCTATACAATAACAGACCAAAATAAGCTTTCCCAACTAAATATACTGTTGCCTCTTCAGAACTGGCTAAGATTTAGAAATTTTGAAATGAGAAAACACTTGACTAAAGAAGTCATATATTGACCTTTTTAAAAATTATGAATCAAATACAAATTCATTGTAGAACATTTGAAAAATACCAATTTAAAGCTTAAAAATAAAACAAAAAGCACTTAGAATCCCACCAGCCTAAGATAACAACTATTAATACTGTATGTGCATTTTGAAACCAGAATTCAAAAAACATTGTGTGTCTGTCTAGCCTCTCATGCTAAGAAAAGATTTATTAGGTACCATATTAAATCCAACTCTGATATTGTAATTAAAATAGTCATAATTTTTACTGATCGTCTCTAAACTTGGTGATAACACTTTATAATATTCTAATGCTGTTATTTTAATACTGCTTTTTCCAATTGTCATGTACATTTTTGATGCCATTCAGTATTTTCCAAAAACATGATTTAACAGTTACATAATAGTACATCCTTTGAATATATATTATTTATTTAACTATTTCCTTATTCTGAGTCATTTGTATGCTTTCACATTTGTTCTTATATGAAATAACTCTATAATAAACATCCAGAGCTAATGATCCTAAATATATACACACTCAATACAGGAACACCCAGATACATAAGACTTATAAAGAGACTTAGACTCCCACACAATAATAGTGGAACACTTCAACATCAATATTAGACAGATCAATGAGACAGAAAATTAACAAGGATATCCAGGACTTGAACTCAGATCCAGAACAAGTAAACTAAATAAACATTTATAGAACTCTCCACTTTAAATACACAAAATATACACTCTTATCAGCACCACATCATGCCTACTTACAGGTTTAAATGAAATATTGGTTGGCTGCTTGTTTGTTATTTTCTTCCCTCATTTTTTTTCTGTCTCCATTATTAAGCACAATTATTGGTATACAAGAGGTTTTCAATACCCATTTTTAGACTGCATTCTAGCCTGAGCAATAAAGCAACACTTCCGTTCTCTCTCCCTCTTCTCTTCCTCTTTCTTTCTCTCCTTCATTTTTTTTCTTTCTTTCTTTTTTCTAAAATAATAAACATCCTAGAAGGTAAATTTCTACATGTACCTATAATTATTTTCTTAAACCACATTCCCAATTGTTCTATAATGTATGGCACAAAAAAAAAAAAAAAAAAAAAACCTAGAATCTTAAGTTTTCCATTCCTTCTGGCAATGGAAAACACACAGTCTCACTGCCCTTTGAGCAGAAGGCTAACTTTAAAAACTTCTGCTTTTTGCTTCACACTGCAAAGGTTACTTGAGTAAGACTACAGGGCTAGCTAGAACCTCATGTTTCTTGCTGTTTGGGAGCAGTTCTCAGGCTCAGATGGGGAGCCAAAGTGAATAGGAAAGCTTCCGTCATTTGAAGGCCAAACCAGGAAAAAAAACATAATTCTTTTTTTTTTAATTTAATATTTTCAAATATATATTTTATTGTACTTTAGGTTCTGGGGTACATGTGAAGAAAATGCAGGATTGCTGCATAGGTACCTACATGGCAATGTGGTTTGCTGCCTCCACCCCCATCACTTACATCTGGCATTTCTTCCCATGTTATCTCTCCCCAACTCCCTATCCACCACTATCCCTCCCCTAGTTCCCCCCAACTAGGGAACTAGAGGACCCCAGTGTGTGACGCTCCCCTCTCTGTGTCCATGTGTTCTCATTGTTCAACACCCACCCATGAGTGAGAACATGCGGTGTTTGATTTTCTGTTCTTGTGTCAGTTTGCTGAGAATGATGGTTTCCAGGTTCATCCATGTCCCTACAAAGGACATAAACTCGTCCTTTTTTATGGCTGCATAGTATTCCGTGGTGTATATGTGCCATATTTTCCCTGTCCAGGCTATCATCAATGGGCATTTGGGCTGGTTCCAAGTATTTGCCATTGTAAACAGTGCCACGATGAATATACGTGTGCATGTGTCTTTATAATAGAATGATTTGTAATCCTTTGGATACATACCAAGCAATGGGATTGCTGGGTCAAATGGAATTTCTATTTCTAGGTCCTTGAGAAATCGCCACACTGTCTTCTACAATGGTTGAACTAATTTACACTCCCAACAACAGTGTAAAACTGTTCCTATTTCTCCACATCCACTCAAGCATCTGTCTTCAGATTTTTTAATGATCGCCATTCTAAATGGTGTGAGATGGTATCTCAATGTGGTTTTGATTTGCATATCTCTAATGACCAGTGATGATGAACATTTTTTCATATGTTTGTTGGCCTCAACTATGTCATCTTTTGAAAAGTGTCTGTCCATAACCTTCACCCACTTTGGAATGGGTTTGTTTTTTTCTTGTAAATCTGTTTTATTTCTTTGTAGATTCTGGATATTAGCCCTTGTCTGATGGGTAGATAGCAAAAATTTTTTCCCATTCTGTTGGTTGCCAGTTCACTTTAATGACTGTTTATTTTGCTGTGCAGAAACTCTGGAGTTTAATTAGATCCCATTTGTCTATTTCGGCTTTTGTTGCCAATGCTTTTGATGTTTTAGTCATGAAGTCCTTCCCTATGCCTATGTCCTGAAAGGTTTTGCCTAGGTTTTCTTCTAGGGATTTTATAGTGTTAGGTCTTATGTTAAACACTTTAATTCATCTGGAGTTAATGTTAGTGTCAGGTGTCAGGAAGGGGTCCAGTTTCTGATTTCTTCACATGGCTGGCCAATTTTCCCAACACCATTTATTAAACAGTGAACCTTTTACTCATTGCATGTTTTTGTCAGGTTTGTCAAAGATCAGATGGTTATAGATGTGTGGCATTGCCTCCGAGGCCTCTGTTCTGTCCCATTGGTCTGTATCTATGTTTTGGTACCAGTACTATGCTGTTTTGATTACTGTAGCCTTGTAATATAGTTTGAAGTCAGGTAGCATGCTGCTTCCATCTTTGTTCTTCTTGCTTAGAATTGATTTGGCTATGTGGGCTCTTGTTTGGTTCCATATGCAGTTTAAGGTGCCTTTTTCTAGTTCTGTGAAGAGGGTCATAGGTAGCTTGATGGGGATAGCATTAAATATATAAATTACTTTGGGCAGCATGGCCATTTTCATGATATTGATTCTTCCTATCCATAAGCATGGAATGTTTTTTCATCTGCTTGTATCCTCTCGTATTTCATTGAGCAGTGGTTTGTAGTTCCCCTTGAAAATGTCCTTTACATCCTTTGATAGCTGTATTCTTAGGTATTTTATTCTCTTTGTAGCAACTGTGAATGGCAGTTTGTTCTTGATTTGGCTCTCTTTAAGTCTATTATTGGTGTATAGGAATGCTTGTGATTTTTGCACATTGATTTTGTATCCTGAGACTTTGCTGAAGTTGCTTATCAGCTTAAGGAGGCTTTGGGCTGAGATGATGGGAACTTCTAAACACACAATCATGTCGTCTGCAAATAGAGACAATTTGACTTCCTCCTTTCCTAATTGAATACCCTTTATTTCTTTTTCTTGCCTGATTGCGCTGGCTAGAACTTCCAATATTATATTAAATATGAGTGGTGAGAGAGAGCATTCTTGTCTAGTGCTAGATTTAGAAGGGAATGCTTCCAGTTTTTGCCCATTCAGTATGATATTGGCTGTGGGTTTGTCATAAATAGCTTTTATTATTTTGAGATACATTGTGTCGATACCTAGTTTATAGAGTTTTTAGTATAACGGTCAGTTGAATTTTGTAGAAGGCCTTCTCTGCATCTATTGAGATAATCACGTGGTTTTTGTCTTTGGTTCTGTTTACGTGCTGGATTACATTTATAGACTTGTGTATGTTGAACCAGCCTTGCATCTCCAGGATGAAGCCTACTTGATTGTGATGGATAAGCTTTTTGATGTACTGTTGCAATCGGTTTGTCAGTATTTTATTGAAGATTTTTGCATCTACGTTCATCATGGAGATTGGCCTGAAGTTTTCTTTTCTTGTTGAGTCTCTGCCAGGTTTTGGAATCAGAATAATGTTGGTCTCATAAAATGATTAGGGAAGGATTCCCTCTTTTTGTGTTGTTTGGAATAGTTTCAGAAGGAATAGGACCAGCTCCTCTTTGTATGTCTGGTAGAATTCAGCTGTGAACCCATCTGGACCTAGCTTTATTTTGGTGGGTAGGCTATTAATTACTGCCTCAACTTCAGCCCTTGTTATCGGTCTATTCAGAATTTCATCTTCTTATGGTTTAGGCTTGGGAAGGTGCAAGTGTAAGTGTCCAGGAATTTATCCATTTCTTCCAGGTTTACTGGTTTATGTGAATAGAGTTGTTTGTAGTAATCTCTGATGGTAGTCTGCATTTCTGTAGAATCGGTGGTTACATACACTTTATCATTTTTTATTGCATCTTTTTGATGCTTCTCTCTTTTCTATTAATCTGGCTACTGCTCTATTTTGTTGACTTTTTCAAAAAACCAGCTCCTGGATTTATTAATTTTTTGAAGGGTTTTTTGTGTCTCTATCTCCTTCAGTTCTGCTCTGACCTTAGTTATTTTTTGTCTGCTGCTAGCTTCTGAGCTTATTTTGATCTTGCTCCTCTAGCTTTCAATTTTGATGATATCGTGTCAATTTTAGATCTTTCCTTGCTTCTCATGTGGGCATTTATTGCTATAAATTTTCCTCTAGACACTGCTTTGTGTCCCAGATATTATGGTACGTTGTGTATTTTTTCTCGTTATTTTGAAGAACATCTTTATTTCTGCCTTCATTTCATTGTTTATCCAGTCAACATTCAAGAGCCAGTTGTTCAGTTTTCATGAAGCTGTGTGGTTCTGAGTTAATTTTTAATCCTGAGTTCTAATTTGATTGCACTTTGCTTTGAGAGATGGTTTGTTATGATATCCATTCTTTTGCATTTGCTGATGAATTATTTTCTTCCAATTATGTGGTCTATTTTAGATTATGTGTGATGTGCTGCTGAGAAGAATGTATATTCTGTGGATTTGGGGTGGAGAGTTCTGTAAATGTCTATTAGGTTTGCTTGGACCTGATCTGCGTTCAAGTCTGGGATATCCTTGTTAATTTTGTCTCATTGATCTGTCTACTATTGACAGTGGAGTGTTAAAGTCTCCCACTATTATTGTGTGAGGGTCTCAGTCTCTTTGTAGGTCATTAAAAACTTGCTTTATGTATCTGGGTGCTCCTGTATTGGGTGCATATATATTTAGGATCAATAGGTCTTCTTGTTGCATTGATCCTTTTACCATTATGTAATGTCCTTCTTTGTCCCTTTTGAGTTTTGTTTAAAGTCTATTGTTTCAGAGACTAGGATTGCAATTCCTGCTTTTCTTTTTTTTTTTTTTTTTTTTCTCTCCATTTGCTTGGTCCATCTTCCTCCATCCCTTTATTTTGAGCCTATGTGTATCCTTGCATGTGAGATGGGTTTCCTGGATATAGCACACCAATGGGTTTTGGCTTTTTATCCAATTTGCCAGTCTGTGTCTTTTGATTGGGGCATTTAACCTATTTACATTTAGGGTTAATATTGTTATGTGTGAATTTGATCCTATTTTGATGCTAGCTGGATGTTTTGCCCATTAGTTGACACATTTTTTTCATTGCATCAATGGTCTTTACCATTTGGTACATTTTTGGAGTGGCTGCTACTGGTTGTTCCTTTCTATGTTTAGTGCTTCTTTCAGGAGCTCTTGTAAGGCAGGCCGGGTGGTGATGAAATCTCTGAGCAACTGCTTGTTCGTAAAGGATTTTATTTCTCCTTCGCTTATGAAGCTTAGTTTGGCTGGTAATGAAATTCTGGGTTAAAAATTCTTTTCTTTAAGGATGTTGAATATTGGCCCCCTCTCTCTTCTGGCTTGTATGGTTTCTGCTGAGAGATCTGCTGTGAGTCTGATGGGCTTCTCTCTGTGGGCAACCTGGGCTTTGCATTTTTTCCTTCATTTCAAACCCAGTGAATCTGACTATTATGTGCCTTGGGGTTGCTCTTCTTCAGGAATACCTTTGTGGTATTCTCTGTATTCCCTGTAATTGAATATTGGCCTGCCTTGCTAGGTTGAGGAAGTTCTCCTGGATAATATCCTAAAGAGCGTTTTTCAGCTTGGATTCATTCTCTCCGTCACATTCAGGTACACCTATCAAATGTAGATTAGGTCTTTTCACATAATCCCACATTTCTTGGAGGCTTTGTTCATTTCTTTTTACTCCTTTTTCTCTCATCTTGCCTTCTCTTTTCATTTCATTGAGTTGATCTTCAATCTCTGATATCCTTTCTTCTGCTTGGTTGATTCGGCTATTGAAACTTGTGTATGCTTCACGAAGTTCTCATGTTGTGTTTTTCAGCTCCGTCAATTCATTTATATTTTTCTCTAAGCTGTTTATTCTTGTTAGCATTTCCCTAAACGTTTTTTCAAGGTTCTTAGTTGTTTTTCATTGGGTTATAACATGTTCTTTTAGCTCAGAGAAGTGTTATTACCCACCTTCTGAAGCCTGTTTCTGTCAATTGATCAGACTCATTCTCCATCCAGCCTTGTTCCCTTGTTGGTGAGGAGTTGTGATCCCTTGGAGGAGGAGAGGCGTTCTGGTTTCCAGTGTTTTCATCCTTTTTGTGCTTGTTTCTTCCTATCTTTGTGCATTTACCTACCTGTGGTCTTTGTAGTTGGTGACTTTCAGATGGGGTCTCTGAGTGATGTCCTTTTTGTTGATGATGAAGTTATTTCTTTCTGCTTTTTAGTTTTCCTTCTAACAATCAGGCCCCTCTACTATAGGACTGCTGGAGGTCCACTTCAGACCCTACTTGCCTGGGGATCACCTGCAGCAGCTGTAGAACAGTAAGGGTTGCTGCCAGTTTCTTATTCTCTTTGTCCCAGAAGGATACCTGCCAGTTGTCAGCCTGAGCTCTCCTTCATGAGGTATCTCTTAGGGTACAGGGTGGTTGGGGAGCTGCTTGAGAAGGCAGTCTGTCCCTTATAGGAGCTCAAGTGCTGAGCTGTGAGCTCCATTGTTCCATTCAGAGCTGCTGGGCAGGTACATTTAAGTCTGCTTCAGTGGAATTCATAAGCACCTTTTTTTCCCAGGTGCTCTGTCCTGAGATGGTGGGGCTTTATTTATATGTCCCTGATGTGCTGCTGCCTTTCTTCAGAGATGCCCTGCCTAGCAAGGTAGCCTAGTCACAGTCTGCCAGCAGAGGCATTGCTGAGCTGCCGTGAGCTCTGCCCAGCTGCTGTGTGAACTTCCTTGTGGTTTTGTTTACAGAGGTATAGTTAGAACTGCCTCAGTAATGGTGATCTGCCTCAGTAATGGTGGACCGTCTCTGTAATGGTGGACTGCATTGGTAATGTCGGACTGCCTCGGTAATGGCGGGCTGCCTCGGTAATGGTGGATGTCCTTCCCCCCACAGAGCTGAACCACCCTGGGTCCAGCTGTGCTTGCTGTGAAACTCAATCCAGAGCGTTTCAGATTGTGGGTCTTTGTGGGGGTGGGACCCACCAAGCCAGATCACCTGGCTCCCTGTTTCAGCCCCCTTTTTTTCAGTTGAATGGGTGACTCTGTCTCCCAGTCATTCCAGGCATCAACTGAAACAGCACCCAGATTTTTGTGAGTTTTTGTGTGGAGACCCACTGCTCCAGCTGAAATAGCAGTACTAGAGACTTGTGGCACTTTTCCACCTGGGAATCTTCTGGTCTGTAGGCAGTAAAAATTCATTTGGAAATGCAGAGATCACTCACCCTCTGCATTCTCACTGGGAACTACACTCCAGAGCTGTTCCTATTCAGCCATCTTGGATCATCTCTCCCCTGCAATTCTTTTAAATGGGGTTAGCTCATACTTCTCCATTTGAATTTGAACAGTAGAATGGTATAAAATGTTATCACTCAGCTTAGAGATGACAAACACAAGATAAAATTACCGAAACTTGATTCAGATTTAATGTGAAAGCAGATTAAACTTTCCCTCAGGATATGAAACTAGAAAATGCATACTTACCCACCTCAGGACTATCTGAAGCCCTATTTACTGCCTTATGCTGAACTCACCATGAGGCGTAGAGAACAGGCTGAGTAGGATGATAACACTGGGTTGAACTCCATGTTCTATAAGAACCTTTACAGCTTCAATTACAGTATTTCCAGTGCCTGAAAGCAAAAGATAACCAAATGCATTAGCCACCTTACCATTTATTTTAAAATGTCTTTTTTGTTTTTTTGAGACAGAAAATCACTCTGTCACTCAGGCTGGAGTAGAGTGGTATGACCTTGGCCATCCTCCCACCTCAGCCTCCCAAGTAGCTGGGACTATAGGCATGTGCCACCACACTCAGCTGCTTTTTCTATTTATTGCAGAAATGAGGTCTCCATATGTTGCCCAGGCTGGTCATGAACTGGGCTCAAGTGATCCTTCCACCTCAACCTCCCAAAGTGCTGGGATTACAGGTGTGAGTCACAGTACCCAGTCACAAAATGTCTTTTAACAGTCTTTGAAGTAAGAGCAATATAGCAATATAATATAAGAAAACAGCATGCAAAACTTCATTAGAAGGTATTTGTTCTTTATCCATGCTATATTCAATAATGGACATGACACATACACTTCTCAGTTATCAAATACCAAGCCCTAAAATCATTTAGTATGTGAGGTATCAAATTTAACATATTCCCTCTCATCTGCCTTGAAGACTATGCCAAGTGTTGTCTGAGTAAGCTTAAGAAAGAAAACAGAATAGCAGGAAAAAATATTACCTACAGAGAGAATACATTCTAAAGGAAAATCCCTGCTGTACTCATTAAGCGAAAGAGGAGATATGTTTCAATATGTTTTCTGCCTTCCATATATTTTGCTTCATTAAATCCTTTGTTTTGATGTGTTCAAAACAGAAGGTTTTTGGGGCTAATAAAGTCTGACTACTGTATATTCTCTTATTATACAATAAAATCTCTACAGGGAACTTCCCAGGGCAGTTTTCTCAACTGAGAAAAACACGTTAAGAAACTATTTTTGCCTTTTATATAAGGGTACCTAGGAGGCAGGCACTACATTCAATTTAAACCCTAACCAAAGGTTACAAATAAATTGAAGCCACTCACTGAGAATTGGATACATCAGAAGGACTTTTCTCCGGTAAATGTCTGGGGGGAATTTGGCATAATACACTTTGGCTCTTTGTGTCTCCTCATCACTCTGAATCAGGATCTTTCCAATTCGTATGGATCGACAGCAGTCTCGTAAACCTTGTTCCATTGCCTCACCTTGAAGAATTAAAAAGAAAGAAAAATGATTAGGGGAAAGAGAGAGAAAGTCCAAGAATAGTCCAAAGTAGAGTTTGTCACTATTATTAATACAAAAAGGAAGGAAGAAGAAAGTAATTATTTTGAAGCTGACAGCTTTTATTTCCAATATGCTCATATTTCATACCTGGTGTATGTTAATTGAAACCAGGTTAAGGGCTGGTTTATGAAACTAGGATAAGCTGGTTTTATTGCTGGCTTACAAGTTTTAGAGCTGTCATGCTTCCATGATTATAGGAAATAAAGCATTTTGTTGAGTAGCTCCCTGAGCTTTTTTAATATCAGGAAGAATTTTATCTCTGTTATTTTAAATAGGCCTTTAAACCACCTAAATTTGTGACTTTGGGCTGAGAAAACACAAAAGATTTGTGGAAGAATAAAGGCTGTAGATCAAAACGTTTCATTTTAGGTCAAGGTAGCATCAGGGGACATCGCTTAGCTCAACAATGACTTCTCAACAGTATTTTGCTGCAAGTAGTGAAAAAGTTGTGTATTGTTCCCCCTCTCCAAGGTAAAAATAACTAGCACTACCATCCTTGGTTTCTGAACACAGAGCTATTTTTGAGTCTGAATTCCTTTAAGGAAGTGTTTGCCAAAAGGCAATCATTCTCATGTCATCTTCAAGATTTTAGGCCATATCAGAATTCTACCAATACTGGCATTTACTTAACATTTTTCTTAAATTAACTGTTTTCATTTAAATTTATTTTAAGAAGAAACTATATCACTAGTAAAAACATAATACCAGTTTCTAATATATATGAAAATCAACAAATGGCTATTAAGGTTATAAACAATTCTGTACATCACCACAAGTCATCTGGTATATAGTCGGGGTGCAAGGACCATGCTGGTGCCTTTAGGGAAGAAGCTGAACTGAAACAGAAGAAACTGTGCCTTAAAAGTCCATTTTCTTTACCAGTTTTTAAAAGCTGAACATCATTGTCCTGAAATGCTATCAATGTTTAAGAGCTGCCTCCTAGAAAAAAGGAGCTTAAAGTTCCTAGTTTACTTGAGGCATTTAATTGTTCACAAACAGAACTTCATAACCAGAAGAGGAAAGTGAATGTTTATACGTTAAAAAATTAAACTATATGTATTCAGTGCAAACAAGTGGAGCTTCTACCACTTATGCAAAAAATATAAATCTTATATAAAACAATTAAGTTTGCAGAATGAAATAACCCCACATAACAGGCATAGGTCTAATCACAGGCAAATGATTTTTCTATATTGGTTTAGAAGGAGACTAAAACATAAATACAACATTTGTAAGACCAGCAAATGGAAATACCTAGAGTTAATGACAGTAAAGCACTTTTGCCTATGTGGTCACATAGTCATCATATATAAAATTTAAAAGTATCAGGCCAGGTATAGCAGCTCATGTCCATAATCCCAGCACTTTAGGAGGCTGAGGTGGGAGTATCACTGGAGGCCAGAAGTTTTAGACAGCCTGGGCAACATAGCAAGACCTCACCTCTACCAAAAAAAAAAAAAAAAAAAAAAAATTCTTTTAAATTTGCTAGGTATAGTGGCACGTGCCTGTAGTCCTAGCTGCTCAGGAGGCTCAGGTGGGAGGGTTACTTGAACTCAGGGGTTTGAAGTTACAGTGAGCTATGATCACACCACCATACTCCAGCCTGGACAACAGAGTGAGGCCCTGTCTCAAAAAAAATTAAAAATATCAAATGAGTCAATTTAGTCCAACAACAGAAATAAAAACAGAAGAAATATTTTCTACAGTCAGGCATTCAAAGTTCTGCAGGCCTGAATTTACACCACATTCCCTCAGTCTTCAAACTACCCTGTTCTCCCCAAGATAGTATCATCACATCATCACATCTTCCTATCCTCCCCTGAATCTCTTTGAAAGCTGGCTTGCCCATGGGGACACTCTACTAGGGAATATGCTCTGTAGTTAAAATTAGCCAAACCTAGCATCACACAGGCCATGACTCCACAGCACCATGAGGATAGATAACACAGGTGGTGAGATTCAACTGAAGACAAGCTGCAATTATGACAGACAAGCCTGCCTCTCTTCTGGAAAACAGCAACCATTTCTATGCATACAAAGAAACAAAAATCACACACATGTGAACCTACCGCTTCTCATTATGCTGACCCCACAATTTCCCTTCTCAAATTTCACTCCTTCATACTTGTATCCTGTTAGGAAATAAAACCAAAGAATTTATCTTTCATCACTGGAGCAACCTGCTTATTTTAAAAAGTTTCTATGGTTTAAAGTAGATGGGCACAGAGCAACCCTTGTTCAGACACACTGTATAATGCCTGAGATTCCCTGTGGAAGTAATGAGATGAGCCATGATTTATCAGTTATTTCTTAATTCTTCATAAGAAACCTGTGGGGATAATTGGGAAAGGCAGACTTCATCGAATGGGAATAGGACTTATTATAACATGATATTCACATGCACATTCTTCAAACTGAATTCAAAGGAGAATCACTGCACTCCAAGAATACTAAACACCTCATCAATTCAAACTGGGACCCCACTGTGAGCCACAGCAGAAAGCCTCCTCATTCCTTTCTTCCTTATGAGCCTCCATTCTGCCTTAAAAGCAGAAGAAAGTGGCTGAAGTAGTTATCAAGACATGCTCAACCCTTGATCTCATCCAGAATTTATGTCAATTATGATGCAACAAGCTCAGTCCCCAACTTTCATAAAGTCAACCATTTGAATAGAACAGTTTTCCATTATTTACTAAAGAACCAAATCAGAATTTCAAATCCCTGAAACAGAGATCTTTGACTACTTTCTATTCAAGGGTAGAACAAAGTACCCTCTCCAATTCTTATCATCTTTAGTTTTCTTTTTACTTTCTGTTCCTTTTTAACGTGGAATTTCAATGCCAAGACAGACTTGCCCATTTGTGCACACCAGCAGCTTCCCCATAGAGATGAAGATATGCTGCCAGCAATTCTTAACTCTGGTCCCAATGGGCCGTCATCAGAGGCAACACCTGCATGCTGAAGAGTATTTATTAACATTTAACTTGAATTGACAAGCAAGCCATTAATAAAAAGTCATCTACACAGATTTCTTTCTTAAATGCCTGAGTGTTTTTTAAAGATGTTTTAAAAAACAGCTCCACCTAGGCTTCTCATTTTGCATATTTATTTTACTTAGACTGCTTTACTTCTATATTTCCCCATTCTACCTCAAAATTTTTATGAGTAAAATTTGAGAATAACAGCCCTAGTTACCTGTTGGAGTGGTCACCATGCATTCTTTATATGGCAGCTGATTCAATCCCTCTTCCACAACAAGTCTGATCTAGAGGGTCAAAGGAAGAAGAAGTTGAGAACCTGCTGGGAATCTCCTGTTAGCTGTCAGCTTCAGGAGCTGAACAGTAGGCAGAGTCATGAACACACTAGGCAAAGGTTACACTTATGAAGGCAGGAAGGGGTCCCCTATCATGTGTTAGATACAGGGATAGATCCAAATGCCATGCTACTTGCTGCTAGGTATCCAACCTCAGATAGGCACATGACTGGCACCAAAAGGCTCCAATATGCCTTTGGATTCTCATTCTGTCAGTCAAGAATATGAGGGACACAAAACTCCAGCAAGTGATAACAGTCATGGCAGGCACTCTTAAAAGTAATATACTTCTGGTTATTCTGGAAATAGTGCCCACTGGGAATTTCTCTGCTTTGTTCAGTATCTTGGAAATCGTTAAGTCAGATTATTTTTAACAAAGCCCCACCATAATGTAAATAAAGCCTGAAACTTCTTTAGAGGAAATAAATGAGTGCCTGGGCTGAACCAATTTACTGAGCTTGAAGGGGAATCCAGTAAAATGCACTGGGTCTTCTCAGCTAAAGAAAAGGCTCATATCAATTGTAATGTGTGGTACAAAGGAAAGCATCACTCAGAACTACTGGAAGAGCCTCCAAAAACAAGATATAGTAATCCTATTAACAACCAGAGACAACTACAATAAAAGTAGTGCTGAGTCTGCAATGCACATTTTATCCAATCAATATTACATTACTGATTGAGAATCTGCAACAGCAGGCAGAAGCACCAGGCCCCATGTTCTGTTATCACAACATATAATAACACCCTGCTGCCATTAAAAGAATCAATTCTAAATAAGCCAAGATATTATCAGCCTGCAGCATCAGACAGAGGGCACAGGGACCTCATGAATACTCCATATGTGTGCATACTCACCCCCAGCCACCACCTTCTGTGGAGATTTATGGTTTCTTTAATGACAAATTACAATGGTAAAAGAGGATTCTTTTCTTTGTAGAGCCTAGACGTTTTCCTCCTAGTAACAGTCCTGTAATGAGTCTTACTTCCTATCCACATCCCCTCCAACACTAGGACAGAAATTAATCTTCCCAAGTCTTACAGGAGAGCATAAAATCAGAATAGTGACTAAAATATTAAGAACTTAAGGATGTGAGGGCCAAGGAAGCCAACCCTGACAAATTCAGGATAAAATTCATGTTCACTATGATGGGACCCTTGTGCTGTAGGAGACAGCGTACTAGAAATCCTCAAGAAGGTAAACCTAAAGAGCTCTAGTCTCTACCACAACCACAACAGACCCTTTTTCACCCCATATCAGGACCTTCAAAGCTACCTGCAGAGAACAGAGAGAGGTACAAATCGTCGTCCCCTCAGGCGAATTATGCCATTGGTCCTTGCTATTTCAATGGGCTAAGATTATGCTTGCCCTTTCAGGGAAGCATCCTACAATCACTATGAACTTAATTCCTACTTTCTATAGAAAAAGAGCATAAGAACAGCAAAAGAAAGAGGAACCATTTTCTACCAGTAAATACCAAAACAGCAGCCATTAAGATACAAGTTCTTCAAGACTGTTCTTTTGGTTTGATAAAAGCATAAAAGACAGAATAACCTAACTTTTGCTCCAGGAATGTCAACCACATTTATCTTGGTACTATCCAAGGGTTATTACTGCCACTGAAAACTCAAATAATTTTAAATAAAATTGGTCTCTGAACCAAGAATATTTATGGCCAAAAGCAGAACAGGAGTTCTCTATACTCTTTTGGAATAAATTCCTTAGGCAAAACCTAAATAAAAAGTTTCATGCCTTTTTTTCATATTCCTTTTAATCATCTCTTTTAATCTGTTTATAACTTTGAGGCTAAGAAGCCATGTTCATTCCTTTCTTTCCCAAATTCGTACTTAGTTTGTAAATCTAATATTTAGATTGTAAACACCATGAGATTAGGGACCATGCCTACATTCTTCACTATTGTATCTCATCTCTCCAGACACAGCCTAGCACAGTGCCCGATTCACGTAAGTTTAGTGAAATAGATTCATGAAATATATATTCGTAAAATATACACTAAACTTCATGAACATACACTACACATAAATATACATTATATTTATATGAATATAAATATACACTAAACTTTCCTGAATGTAATATATTTTCTGCTCTGGATTAAAACTAATAACCACAGTGGAAAACGTGTCAACCTCACTCCCAAGCACTGAGCATGCTTAGATCTTAATACAAGAAGAAAACACAGTGCTTACCCTGAAGACAAACCAATTTGGGATGAGACCCTCCCAGATCACACTAGCTAAACAGAATTGGGCTTTGTCAATCCTTAACAGGAAGTCCCTGAGGAAAGCATAGACAGTCAAATGTACTATTTCACATGTGAAGCATAGTTCAGTAAAGATGAGGCAAAATAAGCACCACCTCCCTGCCCACATAAACTATAAGAAATGTATTAGTTTTTGTACATTCACTGAATACCACAAGTGTAACTCTAAGTTCTTCTTACATTTTTGGTTTTCTTTTAATGTATTTCACTGACCTAAGAGAAGGCACTTAACAATTGCTGAGAATCAAATTACCAAGATCCAGTTGAGAGGCAATGGTAACTCAGAAATACAGGAAATTAGTTCATGGGCAATGTTTTTAGGTAAAAGGTATTGAAGCAGATCTTTAATGCAACAGTAAAACAACACTTCATAAGCCTAGCAAGATGATGGTTACTTAGTACAATCTCTTTCAGTCCCAGAATGCTCTAGAACAAAAATACTCCTTGGTCTACCATGATTATATCACTAGGCAAAACAACAAAATGAAAATGAAAAGCCTCCACCTACCAAACGATCCGCAGAAAACATGAAGTCCCCTCTACTGGCTGTCCTAAAAAAAATAGTACAAGTTTTAGTCTAAATTAGAGCTTTAAGGTAAAATTTTATTTAATATGTACAGTAACACTGATATTAAGACCTATAACATACTAACGGTTTAAATGCTTACATGTACAGACTATTACTGAGGCAGGATACTTTTTACTAGGATATAGGCACCTAAATGAGATGACTTGATAAATAATGAAAATGCTTACTTGATACAAACATTAGAGACTGGAGCTGAAAAGATCATGCAGTCCCCCACTGAGCTGCCCAAGTACATATTATTCAACCAAGAGATGAACAAGTTACCCCTGGAGGGTGAGAGCAAGCCCAGAGCTCAAGTTTAGAGGAACCTTTGCAGTAAGAAAAGCAGGTTCTCCCCATCGTCCCCCTCAATTCACCTTGATCTAAAACCCATATTACCAAGATAAGTAACCCATCTACTTTGTAATCCTTTTTGTAACTAGAGTGGTACAAATAAATAAATCGTCTACTTTTGCTACTGCTTTCAAAAACATATAACCTAATTTCTGAGATCTCATTCTCAAATAATTGATAATTTGTTCTTTTTGACTGTTTTCTCAAATGAGTACTCCATTCCCTAGGTCTCTCTGCCGTTTCCCTGTCCAATTCCTTCTGGTCAATATCCTAAGGTAAGCAAGTAATAATAATCCAGGGCTACATCTACCCACAAGCTGTTAACAAGCCAAAAAGGAAATGTTAAACAACTGAGGTTATTTCTGTACATTAAAATGTAGTATTGTTCCTCATCCTTTTTCCATATAAGTTAAATGATCTGACTGAATGGATTGATTTACAGCTTATGTACTTAAAAATCCCCATCTGCCTACCTATGGACTATCTAAGGCATTCTCCAAAATAGCATCAAAATGATATATGAAAATACATATTATTTCAGTATATCATTAATTTCCACTCTTTTTATCCTCAAGCTGCATTTGATTTCTCTGACATGGAAAAGCAATGAAATAGCCCTGACACAGATGGCATGAGATATCTTAGAGTAACCACAGTTCTATCATATTACAGATATTAGCTCTCTAAAATATAAATCACAATTGAACAATAGCAAGAATATAGGTCTGTGTTGTTTATGTACACAAATTCTTTAAATTCAGAAAACTCTATCCACACATACCTACACACACAGAGCCCCTTTAAAGCAGCCTCAATTTCATGGACTGTGGTTGTCAGATGAGACTATACGAATACACCAGCACCTTTCATATCTATAATTAATCTTCACTACATGTTTGTCAAGGAAGTAAAAAGCAGTGAACTACAAAAAATACTGAAACCTACTGCTCTGTTTGCTAGGTCTATACAAACTTACCTAGGCAGCCAGAACATAGTTATGCAATAAGGAAGAAGTCTGGATTTGACTTAAAGACATATATAGTGATATACATTGGGAGACATCTGAAATGTCTGTTTTAATTTCTGAACAGTTATACATCACTTTATTACAGAGAAACAATATATTAGGTTATCAGAGTTGCCCAAATTTGTTATTTTACTTTGGAATCAAACATTTTAACACCTTTCACATTCTCCCCAACACCACCACCAACAACAACCAAAAAAAAAAAAAAAAACTTCAGCTGACAACTTTTGCATAAGCACCAACTTTGTCCACAATCCAAAAAAGGTAAACACGGGCTGGGCATGGTGGCTCACGCCTGTAATCCCAGCACTTTGGGAGGCCGAGGCGGGTAGATCACGAGATCAAGAGATCGAGACCATCCTGGTCAACATGGTGAAACCCCGTCTCTACTAAAAATACAAAAAATTAGCTGGGCATGGTGGCGCGTGCCTGTAATCCCAGCTCAGGAGGCTGAGGCAGGAGAATTGCCTGAACCCAGGAGGTGGAGGCTGCGGTGAGCTGAGATCGCGCCATTGCACTCCAGCCTGGGTAACAAGAGTGAAACTCCGTCTCAGAAAAAGTAAACACTATGAGATCCTAACATGAGCTGTCCTCTCTTGACAGATATTCCACCTCCAATAAAATCATTTACCACTCCAAGTAACTCTTCTACAAGCTGTAATTACTTACCTATTTCCTGCTGTATAGACAGAGTTCAGATCCATACTATTCATTTATTCATTTTAAATCAATTTAGGAATTAAAGTATATCATAATATAATAAGTTCACCATATTTTTTAATTCCACAATGGCCTTCAATATCATATTTAATTCTTTAACATTGTTAAGACTAGAGTTTCATAAAGCAGGTATTTACTTGTTGGATCAATGAAGCTCAATGTATTCTCTGAGGCTCTATTTTGGAAACAACACTAGGCTGAATTATTTCTTAATAGGGATGTTTAATATGAACCAGACTCCAGGTCTTTTTCATTCCACATATTTCATTTTAAATCATAACTGTAATTGCTCCTACTGGAAACAAAGCTTTGAAAAACATATTTGTTATCTTCTATCTGATAATAGTTCCAAATAAAGTCTAATATAAAACTATCACAATGTTAAAAACACACAGTCACACATTCCCTGGAATATTTTTAAATATATCTAAATAATCAAATATCAAATATTTAAACAGATAATGTCATCCAAGCACTCGTAATCCAAAGTACAGAAATCTAATTAATGTTAAGCTGAACAACTTTTAAATTGTACAAAACCCAAACAGGCTTAGCAATGCAGATCTAACCATATCTGGGAACCCACTTTTCTTGACATCTCCTCACATGGACAAATGTGTCACACACCTGTAGCAACAAGATGAATGCCAAAGGCAGTCATTTTAAAAAGTGATCTTCACACTGAAACAACAACAACAAAAAAATGAGATTCATACTGGAAGCCAAATCTTCATTTTTAAATTTAATTTCTTTTTTTTTTCCTCCATTTATTTTATTGCATTTTAGGTTTTGGGGTACATGTGAAGAACATGCAAAATTGTTGCATAGGTACACACGTGGCAGTGTGATTTGTTGCCTTCCTCCCCATCACCTACATCTAGTATTTCTCCCCTTGCTATCTCTCCCCAGCTCCCCACCCCCCCCCCGTCCCTCCCCTATTTCCCCCCAACTGACCCCAGTGTGTAGTGCTCACCTCCCTGTGTCCATGTGTTCTCATTGTTCAACACCTGCCTATGAGTGAGAACATGCGGTGTTTGATCTTCTGCTCTTCTGTCAGTTTGCTGAGAATGATGGTTTCCAGGTTCATCCATGTCCCTACAAAGGACCCAAACCCATCGTTTTTGATGGCTGCATAATATTCCATGGTGTATATGTGCCACATTTTCCCTATCCCGTCTATCGTCGATGGGCATTTGGGTTGGTTCCAGGTCTTTGCTATTGTAAACAGTGATGCTTTTATTTTAGATTCAGGGGGTACATGTGCAGGTTTTTTAACCTGGGTATATTGCATGTTGCTGAGGTTTGGAGTACAAATGATCCTATTACCCAGGTACTTAGCATAGTACACAACAGTTAGTTTCCCAACCCTTGTCCCCCTCCAACATTTCCCCATTTAGTAGTCCCAAGTGTGTACCATTGCTGTCTTCATGTCCATGAGAACCCAGTGTTTAGTTCCCATTTATAAGTGAGAACATGCAGCATTTGATTTTCTGTTCCTGCATTAATTTGCTTAGGATTATGGCCTCCACCTGAATCTATGTTACTGCAAAGGACATGATTTCATTCTTTCCTATGGCTGCATAGAATTCCATCATACATATTTACCACACTTTCTTTATCCAATCCACTGCTGATGGGCACCTATGTTGATCCCATGTCTTTGGTATTGTGAATACTGTTGTGATGAACATACAAGTGTGTGTGTCTTTTTGGTAGAACAATTTGTTTTCATTTGAATATATACCCAGCAATGGGATTCCTGTGTCAAACAGTTTCTAGTAATTTGAGAAATCTTGAAACAGCTTTCCACAATGACTGAACTAATTTACGTTCTCACCGACAGTGTATACGCATCTCCTTTTCTCCACAGCCTTGCCAATATCTGTTGTTTTTTGACTTTTGAATAATCACTATTCTAACTGGTGTGAGATGGTATTTCATTGTGGTTTTGATTTGCATTTATCTGATAATTAGTGATGATGAGCATTTTTTCATCTGTTTGTTGGCTGTTTGTATGTCTTCTTTTGAAAAGTATCTCTTCATGTCTTTTGCACACTTTTTAATGGGGTTTTTTTTTTTTTTTTTTTTTTTTGCTTGTTAAGTGTGTTTAAATTCACTATAGATTTCTGGATATTACACCTTTGTCAGAGTCAGAGTTTCTGAATATTTTCTTCCATTCTGTAGTTTTTCTGTTTACTTTGTTGATTGTTTCTTTTGCGGAAAAGAAGCTATTTAGTTTAATTAGGTCCCACTTGTCAGTTTTTGTTTTTGCTGCAGTTGCTTTTGAGGGTTTTGTCATAAATTCCCAAGGCCAATGTCAAGAAGGGTAATTCCCAGGTTTTCTTCTACAATTCTTGTAGTTTGAGGTCTGACATTTAAATATTTAATCCATCTTAAATTTTGAACATGGTGAAAAGTGGGGGTCTAATTTCATTCTGCTGCATATTGATAGCCAGCTAGCCTCACACCATTTATTAAGTCAGGTAACGTGATGCCTCCAGCTTTGTTCTTTTTGTTTAGGATTGCTTTGGCTATTCTGGCTCTTTTGGGGTTCCATATGAATTTTAGAATCGTTTTTGTTGAATTCTGAGAAAAATAATGTTGGTAGTTTGAGAGGAATATCATTGAATCTATAGAGTGCTTTGCACAGTGTGTTCATTTTCCAAAACTGATTCTTCCAATTCATTAGCATGAAATGTTTTTACACTTGTTTGTGTCATCTAAGATTTCTTTTAGCCATATTTTATAGATCTACTTGTAGAGATATTTCACATCCTTGGTCAGATGTATTCCTAGGTATTTTGTTGCAGCTATTGTAGTGGAACTTTTATTCATTTATTTACTTTATAGATATGGAGTCTCAGTATGTGGCCCAGGCTGGT